CTTTTTGGTTTTTCTCCGGTACCGGGAACCGAACTCACGACCTTGCGCTTGCCAGGCAGGCGCTTTTGCCGCTGAGCTAAATCCCCAGCCCCTCATGGAGCCATTTGATAAATGTTAGTAGAAATTCAAACTATGAGTTTTATTCTAACCAGGTTGAAGAACTAAGATGAAATAGGGCTTAATTTTTCTATTACTTTTCTCCATCCAGTGAGAATTACTATTGTATGTAGTTGTCAAGGTGAACTGGTGCAAATATGTAGCTTCCACTAAATAAATGGAAAGTCCTATAAAGAACAATCCTATCTCATTGCTCATTTCAGAGAGGAAGTATGTACAAGTTATCTCTAATCAGAAGTTGTAAGAGGATAATTATCCAATTCAAATAGCTTCCTGATTTGTGCCTAAACTCACAATGGTTTTAAAGTTGTACAATACCGAGCCTTTTCCTTTTAAAATAAAAACAGCCAACAGGAACAACAGTGTCCCGACTCTGCCCTGTCACACAGTGGTCTCCAAGAGAGGCTCTTGTGGTTGCTTTCAGAGGGTGAAGAGCTGATGCTGCTTCTGGGAAGCACTGGGAACCTGAGAGAGAAGCTGAGAGGCTGTGGAAGGTGAAGGAGAATGAGCAGCAGGCAAGTTGCTTCTTAAGAAGGCAAGTGTGCTTCCAGGGTGTAACAGGACCGTGCTTCTCAATGTTAACATAAATAAGAATCACTCGTGGTGCTTCATACATTACAACTTTCCAAGCCCTAGGAATGGATTTTGTAAATATTACAGATAGCTTGTTGCCTATACCATATTCCTTTCCCAGAGTTTTATTTGCGCAGGCTGTGTACACAGTGTATAACAAAAGTCCTGGATTTCTCGCTGCCCTTTCCTATGGGTGTGTCCAGTTGACTGGATCAGGGCGTAGCATAGCTGAGGGATAGAAAGCCGGGCTTTGTCCATGAAGCCTTTATGGAGCTGCTTACCCATCTTAGACTGCTGAGCCCTAAACTTATGTGTGAGAGGAGTAACTCCTCTCCTGATAAACCATGATACATGGAACATATTATCAGAGGAAAGCAAATCTATGGATAGAGCGGAAGCTAAAAATCTGAATATTAAGCACCTCTGGTGTTTCTGATGGAAAGGCTCCATTCAATCACACCCAGAACACTGAAATAGTTATAATAACTTCAAGAAGCAATCAAAACTCACTACAAAGATGTCAATGGAGAACATGTGGGTAGAAGTGAATGAAAATAATGAGAAAGGAGAGGATATAGGCCATCTATCCATTAGAAGGGCCAACAGAAATCCTTAAATCACTGTGCCCAATCTTTTGGCTTG